CTTCAAACGTGCGAGCACGACAACCCCATGTGAGGAAGTCCGCGTAGAAGCGTTGAACGAGTGCATCGACTTGTCGGGACGTCGACAGGTCATGGCCGAACCAGATGCCCAAGTACTTGACGTGAGCGCCCGTGGCCATGACGTTCGGCCTTTTGGCTAAGATCAAGTGTAGTATCTGTTCTAATCAGTGTGAAAACTGATTTCCACACTTCGGTGTGGTTTTTTTTCACATTCATTTTTACAAATTCCGATAGTCCAGTTGGCTTGCCACTGACTATTGGACTGGTTTCCGAGGGCCCAGCACTCCTCCCTTGTGAAGCCTAACTACTGCACTTGTCCTCTACCTAGCACCACATTTCCATCTTCCAACACACTCTCATGCTCCTAATTTGGTCAGCGCAGCAACCTTGCCCGCAGGGCCCGAGGCGCAGCCGAGGTCTAGTTCATATGCGAGGAAACCATAGTATTGCGAGTGCATCCAATAGACGCGCGAGAGCATTGTTTTATGCGTGTTGCACTACAACAGAACAATATTTGAAGCCGAGAGGCGGACTTCGTTTGCTTGGTCCGTACTGTCAACATTCTTTTGATGTCGTGCGATGTTTGAACGCCGAAACGGACTGGAAAGTAAGAAAGCATGCATTATTGCATGGAGCGATTGTGTATTGCACTTGTGCGATGGAGAGACGACGCGGCGGGAATATGAGCAGAATAACATCGACGCACACGGCAAAGTGCCGCGGCCGTGACCTCGGCCCACACGTGATACCGAACGACAAATGGATCTGCTGGCTCGCCACGACTGTAGACGCCTTCGCGTGTGGCCCCGTGGCAAGCCCGACTCCCAAGCCGCCATGGCTGGTTCGCCTCAACAAGGTTACCAAGTCGTTGACCCTGACGACGCCCGCCGACGTCGTGCCCCGCCAAGGATGCGCTTGCAGCTACCGACCCGCCACCTGGGCGTCGCGGAAGCCTTCTACGAAGCGCCTGCTGCCGTAGCCGAGCTCCGGCTACCCGACGCCATCTTACCCAAGTACGCCGACTTCGTCTACCCAGTGATGCTCCGCGCGGTCAAGTTCCGCGCACATTTGGACTGGCTCGACAGGGCCGATCAAGCGTGCCTCTTCTGCCCCGAGCACGAGACGTACCGCCACTTCCTCGTAGACTGCGACTTCATCAAGGACGTGTGGAGCACGCTTCACGCCGTCATGATCCCTCTGGGCGTGACCTTGCCGACTACGCTCTCAGGCTACCTCTCCTCGACGCCCAAGACGGCGTCCAACAAGCACCAAGCCGCGTTCCGCTACCTCTGGCCCGAGCTCCGCGCCTGCGTCTGGTTCAACGTCTGGCGAGTCTGGAACGATCGCGTCTTTCGCGCCGACCTACCGCTGCCAAGTCCATGGACGATTGCCGTCAAGGCGGCGCGTGTCGCTCAACAGCACTTGCACCACAGCCTCGTACAAGAGCCCGAGCAGCCTGCTCTTCGTCGGCTTCTCCGGCTCCTCGCCCAGCACGAGTGGCCACGACGTCACCTCGTCCCGCGGATCGCGCTCCTGCCTCTGTAATAGACGACCGACTTCAACAACAACATCAGCGCACACGCTGTTGACGCCAGGGGGCCCCAGTGCAAAGCTAACATTACGCTGTTATGCACCTAATGTCCTTACTCTGTAGATCATCAATTATCCACTGTTTAAATTTATATCAACTCCACCAACTCATACCTTACCGGTGGCGTCTAAGTCGAGTGTATGACGGAATTCTGGGCGCTGGAAACCTGTCCGAAAGCTGGCGGGTGGCCAACTGGACTTGGAGAATTTTGTAGAAATGAGTGTGTAAGAACGCCACTGTAAAGTGTGGAAGTCATTTTTTACACGGATCTGAGCTGAAACTACACTTGATCGTGGCTGGTCATGCAATTTAATTATAAAAATCCAGGGGTCCCACATTCTTTTTACACAAATTGTAAGAAGAATATAAAGCTTTTTTAAAAGTGTGGAAAACAGTTTGCACACATCTTTGTACCACATTCTACACTGGATCTGCGATCGTGCTTCTTTTTTCTTTACAAACGTGACATGTTTACAACATGAATTTAGCACACGTTTTAAACAATGCAAAGGACTGGCATACAATTGGGCAGCGAGCGTGAACGTGGACGACCATCATCGACTTGACACCGCGTGGGACGAAGCCATCGCCTCACCGTTCGTCCGCCGTGCCTTGCTGCCTCACTATTTCATTTGCCAACTATGAAGCGCTCGCTCTTCGGTGGCGCCATCTCGTGCGACGTGCCCAACGGCTTTGCCGACGTGAGCGAGTTTCGCCAAGTGCCCGACAACCAAGAGGTGTTCGCCGACGCCGCGACCGACCGCTGCGTCATCATTGAGCTCCTGCAAATGGAGGACACCATTGGTGACAGCGCCACTGGTGTGTTCTACTTTAACGAAATCGCCGACTCGAACGCGTGCGCGCCGACGGACCGCCACGTTGCCCAAGCGTTTACGATGCCCGCGTCCGAAGTGCATGGGCTCCAAGTCCCTGCGCACATTGCTGTCGGTACGCAGGCCGTCGCCAAGTACAAGGAGGCCGCCAAGAACGTGATTCAAGTCTACGTGTGCTGCCTGCGCCTCCCGCGCGCGACGACCGACCTCGTCGTCTCGGTCACCGTGCCCATCTCTGTGGACCCCAACAGCAGCAGCCGCGGCCACGTTCCCACCGACGTCGACGAAGGCTCGGTCTTTCTCAAGGCCATCTTCCGCTCGCTCGCCGTGCACGATTGGGACCTCTTTCAATAAGCTCTTCAAATCCGCTGTCGTGTCCTGTTTTGTGACGTGTCGGCGGGTATCAAATAAGACGTTGCAATTAAGTACTACGCATCTCGAATGGCGAGGTGGACACCCCGATCGAGCACATCGGCCGCCGAGAGGGTGCTCGGGAGGTACACGAGGTGCACGACCTCGGTGACGCCCGCGGTCGCAGCATCGGACAACACCGTGCGCAGCAGGGGCAATGGCACCGTGGACGCAGCGCCGTCGAGTCCATTTAAAGCTGGTACGGTGCGCGGTGTAAAGTGCAGGAGGAGCGGGCCCGTCGTCGCTGACTCGGGCGTCGGTGCTTGCAGCGTGTGCACACCGGTGGCATCGGGCAGCCAGGACGCACCGACGAGAACGACGCCGTCGACATAGACGCCACCTGCCGACCGGTCCACAGTCGATACAATCGTAGCCTCGAGCGCTATCGTGTGCAGCGGCTGATTGAGGCTCTTGGCGAAATGCAAGCTCCACGCCGAGAGAAACCGAGTCGGTTCGAGGTAGGCGCCGAGCCAGTGCACGTCGGGCACGACACCACTCGCGACCCAGTCGTCAAAAAACTGAATCTGGCGCATGAGGTGCGCCTGAAAGCCCGTCCATGTCGTCTGCCCCGAGTTGGCGACGTGCTGCCAAGACGCGGGTGCTTCGTTGCGGAGGACGGTGGCATGTAGCGGCTCGAGGGCGGGCGGGAGCACGCCGGCGCCATCAACGAGTGCCTACGCTTGCGTGAAACACACCACGTGGTAGAGCTAGCACCAACCTCTTGGAGACGTCGAACGTCGGTTCGCAACCGATCTCGGATCGTGGCCAAGATCTCGACTTCGGCGTGCAGAATGGCATGCAGCGGTGCCGTGGTAGCCAGCGGAAACACCTTTTGAGCGACGTCGAGATCGAGGCTCGCGGCGTCGAGCGCCTTGTCGAGCGACGCGTACTGCAGGACCTCGACCCGCGTTTGGCTGGGAGGCGCAGCCGCGGCGATCGCTGGCGGAAACTGGCGCCAGAGCCAGTACCGGTACGTGCTCTCGAGGCGTGTTGCGATCGAGAGCGCTGCATACAAGTCGTGTACGAGGCTCGCGTGGAGGCCAAACCACACGGGGTTGTCAATGATTGGCAAGCTCGTAATGTTGTTGGGGACGAGCGGGCCCGCGTTTGGCGCCTCGACCGACTCGAGGAGTCCTTCCATGTCGGACGTGGCCGCGGACGACGATCGACGCCGAAGAAGGTTGCGGACGCTGGCCGTGCGCTCGACGGGCGACGTCCACGCAAAGATGATGCGCTGCAGCCGCGCTTTGAGCTGCCCGCTGCTATAGCGTTCCAGGAGCAGGCGCACATACGCGGTGTCCCAGGACGAGTAGAGGTTGCAGCCGTACACGAGAGACTCCAAGTCCAAGGACGGGTGCGCGACGACGATGGCAAAGTCCCGCGGTGTCACACACAAGGCACCTTTGAACCCATGGACGCCAAACTGCGTGCGCGCCACGAGAAGCGCGTGAAGAAAACAGAGACTGAGCCACTCGGGCGAGGCCAGCGTCGGGCTTCCGAGCGCCTCGGTGGCGTCGATATCTAGTGAGAGCCATCGAGATCGGAGACGATCCTTCTACCTGGTGCGACCGACGACGAGAGCGGCGCATGGAGCTGGTAGGCGCAGCTAAAAAGGTGCTCGCGGAAGGTCGCTCCGAGGGCCATGTGACGCGTCACGCTGCGCTGTGCGAGCGAGAGCGGGACGCGGTCGGTGGCGTCGACGCACAACCAGAGCCGGAATTCCCAGTGAACGTCAGCAATATCTAGCCCGTGGTAAGCTCGGTGCAGCGTCTCGAGCCAGTCGGGATTGGTGTCGACTTGCCGAAGCACGAGCCACTGCCCCGTCTTCATGGTCGCAACAAGGACGCGCTCGAGCGGCTCGCTGTGGGCGGCGAGCACGACGTCGACCTTGGCGCTGGTGCCGGCCGCCTTGATCGCCGCCAGCGCGTCGTGACCTTGCGACGACAGAATGAGCGGCGTCGCACAGCTGGCCGCCGCCGCCATCTCGCCGAGGCTCCAGCTGTACGCAGCCGCGAGCCACTCGGACGGCACGACGCTGTGAACAAAGGCAAGGGCCTCGGCGCCAAACTGGTCCGGTCGAAGCGCGCGAACGATGCAGAGCCGCTGGAGCGGCGAGAGCGGGACCGGTAGCTCCATGAGCCATGGCTTCGGGGCCTCGTAAAAGCTCTTCCAGACCACTTTGAGGTTGTCGTCCATCCACGAGGCGAGAAGGCGACGCCGGAGTGGTTTTGGGAGAATGTCGCCGAACGACGTCAAGAGCTCCCAGCGCGACGTCGGCAGCCACGACGGAGAGCGCAACGGCAGCGTTTCGACACGCGGCGCGGGCTGCGGTGCGATCAAGAACCGAAACTCTTCTTGGCTCGACCAGCACCACGCCCAGGACGGCTTGGCGCGCTCTTCCATGTCGTCGAGTTCCCGCCCGACATCGTCGTCGTCGCCACCGTCCATTCCACTATTGTCATCGTCGGCGAATGTGTCGTTGCATTCGTCGTGGTTTGCTTCGTCCGAGCCCGAGCCGCCTCGTCGTCGTTGTCGTCGTCGCTGCCGTCATCGTGGGGCTGGTACAACCGTAGGGCAAAGAGCAAATTGAGAAGCGTGCGGTCGTCGGCGCAAACGCCCCAGTGCAGTGTTCGGTACACGGTCAGCGTGATGCGCTCGAGAAAGGCCATTGCATCGCTTTTCCCAATCGCACTCAGGACACTTGTGAGCAAGTGGGTCAGCCACGCGATCGAGACGCCGTATCGCGGACTCTTGTGCCGTAAATCGTCGCTGATCAAGCACAAGTCGACAAACCGCTGCCGCACCACGTCGAGCGGCACCGAGAGTCGAGTGGCTTTCGAGAGCTCGTACGAGAGCTGCACTTGCTTGGCGACCGCGTCGCTATACGAGTGGCGCCACGTCAAGAGCGCGGCCGTGTCGTCCAAGATGGCGTCGCCAGCCTTGGCGAGTGCCGAGAGGCAGAGATCTTCCCAGCCACTCGCATCGTGCTCGGCCGCGTGCAACGACGTTTTGAGCTCCTGCCAATGCAGGAGCGTGTGCTTCGAGGCGTTGCCAAGCACTTGCGATCGGAAGAGGTCGCTCGCAATCTGAGGCGTCAGCTCAATGTAGACAGGCGTGGTGAGAGTCGCAAACGCTGGCAGCCACGGCGCTGCTTCGTCGGTCGTGAAGAGGTAGAGCGACCAGTCGGTGGGGAAATCGAGCAGCGACTGCTTGTGCGTGAGAAAATTGGGCCGCGCATTCCCGAGCCGACTGGCTTGACGTTTCGCGAGCAGAAAAGGCAAGAGGAGACTCTTGGTCGAGAGATTGGTGTGGCGCACGAGGACGGGACGCCCGGCCTGCATGGCAGCAAAGACGTCGTCTTGGACCTTGTCGAATTCCTCGGGGCTGCCGTTGTGAGGAGGCACAAGGTATGGCGTCTCGTTGGCGTACACGTCCGTCGTCATGGCGAGGACCCATGCGTAGGCTATCTCGTGCGGGTCAATGAGCAGCGGGTATGTCTCGGCCGAGGCCAAGAAGGCGACATTCTCATGGCTGATCGGGTCGTCCATCGGCACAGTTTTCGCGACCCAGCGCTGCAAGAGCGCCGACTCGACGAGCAGATCGTACGTGGCGTAATGGGACGTTTGCGTGAGCAAGCCGAGAGACGACGGTAGCCCGAGGTTGGATAGCAACGTGATCCACCGCACGAGCAAATGGTGCCGGCCATACGCCGGCACGTGGCCTGCATACGACGCGAGCCCCGTGGCCATGAGTGCATGGGCCGGTAGCCGCGCACCCCACTCGATGCACTCGTCGCGTCGCTGATGCCATGCGCTCACAAACACCACGAGCGCCGAGAGCAACGATTGCGCTTTCTCACTCGACTCGGTCGAGTCGGACAGCTGCGTCGTGAGCTCGCGCACTTGGGTGTCGGTGGTCGCTCGGGACGTGGTCGTTGCCTGCATCGTCGCCACGTGCGCGTCGACGACGCGCCGTAGCTGCGCGCACTTGATCTCGCAGCCATCTACAATGACTTGGGCGTCCTTGATGTGCGCATACTGCGGCTCAAGCATGACGTGCGTCATCTTGTACTGAATGATCGCCCGTGCCCACGCACAGATGGGCCCGCCGGACGGGTGCAGCTTGGCCAAGCACGCGGGCGTAAACTCCGCGTGACGCCGAGCACGTCGCTGTCCAAGCGCATGGCAAAGTCCGTGCCTCGATTCTTGAGCTCGTCGAGCCCTTCGGGACGCAAGAGCTACGCACCATGCAGGATCAAAATAAGGTGCGATGTCCTTCGGCATTGTCGTACCCAGTGCCGCGCCGGCAGCGTGTAGTCAAGGAGCTTGGTTTCAATGTCGCGCTCGTCAAACGTCTCGATGGGCTCGAGTCGTAGGAGGCGGCACATGCACTCGAGCAGGTAGCGCAAGGTGGGCGGCATCGGGTGCACGCTGCAGAGCTCCGCCATGTCTTGCGTGTTGAGGCCCTCGAGCTTGCGCGTGGCGTCCAGCACACTTGTCGTCGCAGCGTCCAGCGTGCAATTCGCTGCGGCTTGCAGCGATTCCAACTTGGCAACCGCTGCGACTCGAACGTCGTCCTCCGCCGACAGCTGCGCTTGCAACGACAGAAGCGTTTGCGACGCGGTCTCGAGGCCGACATTGATGCCCTGGGAGACCTGCGACATGCGCGAGATCTCAGGTGTGAGGCCCTTGACCGTTTGCGCGACGCGCGTCGAGAGGCGTTCCAAGTACCGCAGCGCATCGAGCGCTGCCACGAGCTTGGCTTTTCGCTCTTCGTTGGCCAGCACGCGCGACTGCCAGAGCCGCGCAAAGCTCGCAATGTGCAACACAAAACGAGATGGCACGAGAGGGCAGGCGTTCGTCTCGTATGCTTTCGCGGACGCAAAGAGCGCCTCGGCCGCGTCCAGGTACAGCTCGGCGTCGGCCATGCCCGCGTCCGTGCACGTTGTATGTACCATGGCGCGTAAAACGTCCTTGGGCCACGTACTGACGTGGTGTATGTGGCAGTGCCGGAAGAGATGTGCATACGAGGCTTGCAGGTGGCGCTGCCACGTCATCGGTGCGTGCGCCGGCATGGTCAGCACGAGGGCGAACGTGAGCTTCCGCCGAAGGGTCTCGGCAAAGTACGCCTCGACAGAGGACTGCGTGTCCAAGAAGATATTGTCGCTTTTCGCGAGCGCGCGCAGCGCCGGCGCCAAGGCTTCGAGGTCGCTCGAGGTGACAAAGTGGGGCACATAGCGCTCGCAGACGAGCTCGGCCATGTCGACGAGGTACTCGTCACGCGTCGTCTCGTCTTCCGGAGTATGACACGCCAACGCATGCTTGATGACGAGCACCGAGGCCGTCGGATGCGCCGCGGCGCGCAGCAAGGCTTCGTTGATTGCACGCTGCCACGTCTTGTGCACGGCAAACAATGGGTTCTGGACGTTGAGATACGTCGCGGCGCTACCGGCGATGCCTGCTGCGAGCCGTGACAAGGTCGCTTTGCCCGTGCCGGGTGGCCCCCACACCAGTACATGCTAGCTCACGTGTTACAGCGTGGTGTCAAATGAAGAAGCGACATTGAGTACCTGTGAGTGATAGCTCGCGGCGGGACCTGCCGGCGGGCGCAAGACCCGAGCGAGGCGTACCACGTGCTCAATAAAGAAGGGCAACTGCAGCTGCACGTCGTTGTTGATCGCGTTGGGTCGCGCCAACGTCTCGGTGAGCTTGCTCAGCTCCGCGGCCACGGTCGCACTCAAGAGCTCGACCATGTCACTGGCGTCAATCTCGTCGTACGCGGTCGACGGCAACAACGTCACAAAGGTGATGCGCAGAAAGTTCGCGTGCAAGTACGCAGCGACCGGCGTCACCTGCTGCGCGCCGAGCATCGATGACCGGTGCGTCGTCGCCTGCATGTCGTCGCTCGCGCGCCGGAGCACCGTGTTGGCCGCCGCGGCCGCCGCGACCGCGTTTGGAAACAAGGTTTCATGGGCGATCGCAAAGCTCGAGGTGCAAATATCGCGGAGGAGCGCGCTGAAGAGAGCCAGATCGGTCGCACTCATGAGTCGATCGGCGAGCGTTCGCGTCGCTTCGTGGCACCAGAGCCGGACAAGCGGTGTCTTGTCGCTAAACTGCGTGGCGGCGCAGTCGCGCGCAACCGCTTGCGTCAATTGAAGCATGTCGTCGAGCCGGAAGAGGTAGTGTGGCCGCGTGGGCGAGACGCGGAAGCGCTCGTTGCAGCTGATAAAGAGCCGCATCGTCGCCTTGACGAGCGTCGGCAGCATTTGGGCAAAGTCCACCGAGAGGTTTCGCGACGAGACGCACCAGCTGCCAACGTCGAGGAGGAGCTTGTTCATGTCGGACGCTTGCAGCTCGGGAAAGGCGAGCGGGACGAGCCGTGTGACAAAGCGCTCTGAGGACGCAAGTCGACGCCGTGACGGCTGCTCGGTCACGCTGCCGACGAACACGATGCCCGACACGAGCGTCTCCGCGTGCGTGTGCGGCTCGTACATCGCACCGTTGGACAAGAGGTGGCGCAGAAAAGCCAGCGTGCCATCTTGATCGGACGGGAGACTCACGTCGTCGAGGATCAGCACGCAGGTCTTGTGGGGCGGCGCCGACAATTCGTTCTTACGCGAGCGTTCGAGGTGGTCCTGGAGACTCGAGAGGAGCGAGCTCGGCGACGTGCGCACGCCGCAGGGCACGAGTGCAAATACAGAGGCCTTGGTCGTCAACACTCTTTCATCGCGCTGCCGGAGAAGACTCTGCGTGCAGAGGGCGTCGACGACCGCCGATTTGCCCGTGCTTGGGGGTCCCATCAAGAGCACGTGCTGCGCGGTCTGCACAAATAGCTCCTACATCGTCGTCGTTGGTGTGTCGGAGAGAGTTCAACATGATAGATGCTATACACACCGTATAGTGCAATACGGCCGTGCTGTTGGCCGTGGGAATAAAGAGTTCCTTGATCGAGCGGAGTGGCATCGGCACCGAGAGCAGTCGAGGAGGCACAATGTCGGTCCAGAGCTCCCACTTCAAACCCCAGTCCACCGAGAGGCCAAAGGCGTACACGAGCTCGGGGCGGTTGGACGGGAAAAAGAGCTGGAAGCGCTTGCCCCGGGGCACGGGTGTCGGGGACGTGGCGGCAACCGTCGTCGCCGTCGGCTCCCCGGCGAGCGCGCGCAGAAAATTATCAAATTTCACGCGCTCGTCATGGGCGGAGGTGTGGCCAATGCCCCAAACGAGTCCGAGAAGAAACGCGCAGTGCCCGACCGAGAAGAGCTGCTTGACCGTCATCGACGCCATCTTGGGCCACGCCGCGCGGACGCTCGCACCGAGAATCGCCAAGAAGCTCTGCATACGCCCGAGGCTGCTCGGGCCAAAGGACGAGGCACGAAAGTGCAGCGTTGCAAACTGAAGGCACGGATCGATCAAGTCGAGCACGCTGTCCATCGCGTCCTTGACATCCGTGAGCTCCTTGAGCGCGTCGTCCTGCTTGGCCCACCAGCTATCGTAGAGCTGCTGCCAGCTCAGGTCGGAAGCCGCAACGTGAACGATCGCCGTCCGCGTCACGACGCCAGGAGACGCATGCACGAGGCTCGTCGACTCGAAGAGTAGACGCGTCTGTGGCGGCAGCGCGAGGCGCTCGCCCGACAACAGGCTTAAATAGCCATCTTGCTCGAGGAGCGAGTGCAATCCGTCGGTCCAGGACGGACTCAGCGCGCCATCCATGACGAGCCAGAAGCGCCCGTGGGCCTCGAGCTTGCTACGCGCGTGAAGACGCCGAAGGAGCAGCGTGAGCACGCCTTCGTCAAAGGTTTTATTCGGCAAAAGTCGGCCGTAGAGCTCATCGATTGACAAGCTCCTCGGAGACACCACTTGGTACATGGCGACACAGTCGGCAGACCCGGACCGTCTATTTTGATGGTGGGCGTACGGGTTCAAGCGCTCGTCGACAAGCCGCAGCGCGTGGCCGAGCGTTTGATACAGCGTCGTCTTGCCGCTCATGGTCGGACCAAGCAGCACGACGCCTTGGGGACGACCGAGCGCTGTGTATAGCTGCTGCAACTTGAGCAGAAACGACGGCGTTGCCATCACGTGATGCGCTTGGAGCGCGAGCGTCATCACATCATGCGGCAAGTCTTGCGATTTGTGCAGCAGTGGGGTTGAGGCAAGGGTCTCGAGGAAGCTCTGCAAGGTACTTGCTGTCGCGTCCGACGGCGGAATCACACTTGAGAGGACGTCGCCGAGCACGTGAAGGAGCATCGCGCCTTCGATCGAGACGAGCTCCGCTGGTGACGCCGCATCGTACGCGTGCTCTTTCAACACGAGTTTCTTCGCTCGATCGACGACGTTCTTGACCACGCGGAGCGACTGCATGTAGGTCGCTGCGAGAGGAAAGAGCTTGGCGGCTGTCGCCAGTGCAAACGCAACCTGCTTGCCGAGCATCTCGGGGTTCCCAAAGCCCGCGAGGTCGCACAAGATACGGCACACCATCTCTACGTCGGGTGCAATCAGCGTCACGGGGCGAAAGAGGCTTAGGAACGCATCGTGCGTGCGCGGCAGCTGCGACGCCGTAAACGTAGCAGCGATGTGGACACCGCGCCGAAGACGGAGCTTGGTGCCATGCAGCATCACCGACGCCTCGCGCAGACTGGTCGCTTCTTGTACGCGGTGCAGGAGGTCCGTGAGGACTCCGATGCTGGCATGATTAAAGACGTTGTGCGCATTGCGCAGTAGTAGCCACGTGCCGGTGGCCGCGGCCCCCTTGATGATGCGCGTAAACGCGTCCATGTGGGCGACGCACTCAAAGGCCATGCAGAGTTTCCCGCACGCACTCGCGAGCATGTGCAACGTCGTGGCCTTGCCGATGCTCGACGCGCCGACCACCGCCGACCCTTTGGCCATCGCCATCGCACTGCACACAACGCGTGCGACCTTGAGTGTGTTGGGGGTCACAATCCACGTCGTGGCGCTGCCGAGGTACTCGTTGCCGTAGAGCACGGAGGACTTGAGCACTTTGAGAAGGACGTTGCCGTCGTTCCACGCCACCCGGAGCTGCGACTGCCAGACAAACGCGTCGGCATTCGCAAGGTGCGCCTCGTGCGCGATGAGGTCGGCGGTGCAGTCGCGGGCATGTAAAAGCTGCGCAATGAGGTTGGTCACGAGGTTGATCCGGTGGAGCAGTGTGTGCGTGCCTTCCCGCAGCTCTTGTGTGAGGTCCGCAAGGCGGGGCTCGAGCTCGGTCGAGAGGTAGTCTTGAAGTTTGTGGGGCCGAAGCGAGCGCGCATCGGCACTCGAGCTCGGCTCCCGTAAGGCGCTTTCGATCTTGTTGGTAAACATGTAGCGCTCGATGACGAGCACCGTTTGTTCGGGCCAGAGAAGGTACCATTTCCGAAAATCTTTTTGCTGTAGTCGCTCATCGCACTCCGTAGTAGCACCTGCATCGACGTGTACAAGCCTTGCTCGAGGCGGGCGAGCCAACTGTCCGTCGCCACCTTCTCGGTCGGCACGACCTGCGAGAGTGCAATCGACTCGTCGAGCGAGCTGCTCACGTTTGTGATCTCCTTCGCACCATTGAGCTCGAGCCGCCCAATGCCTGGAAAGCAGCACGAGAGGTACGATCGCTTGCGCGTCGTGAGTGCGTCCGGGTGCGTCGAGAGCGCGCGAATGAGCTCGGCGTCCGAGAGGAAGAAGAACCGAGGAAAGAGCGTGCGCTTGAGCTCCAAGCACATGTGGAGGCCTTCGAGGACGTTTTCGAGGAGCGCTTGGCACTCGCGCAAGCGATCGGCTGCCTTGTCGATCTGGATGACGGCCAAACAGAGCGGCCGCGCGACCACCGCGGCCATGATGCTGCGCCAGTGGCTATCGGCGAGTGCGAATTTCTTGGCTTCGGGCGACGCCTTGTCGAGAACTGGGACGTCGGCTTTGGATGCGAAGAGCGGCTCGATCGAGGCCCAGGCCTTGCCCGTCTCGGAGAGGAGCTCGGTGACGTCGCGCAGCTTGAGCAGCGCGGGCGGTGCGCCAGAGCTGGTCGTAGGGTTCGAGCGTCTCGCAGATCGTGTCGAGCTGGAGAAAATCCGTTTGGACCCACCCGAGCTTGGCTTCCTCGTCGGCGATCGTATCGATCGTGTGGCGCGCTTGCAGAATCGCATCGCGCACTTTAGTGAGCTGCCCCACATACGTGGTGGCGTGTCGCAAATCGCTCTTCTTCTGAAACGAGTTGACTTCGGACTCGAGCTCTTCGAGCTCGGCCTGGAAGCGCGAGCGCTTGGCGATAAAGGTCGTCTCGATGCGCATGCGCTCGTTCTGGAGCGCGACTTCGCCATCCCGAATCACTTTTTCAATTTGGTTCTTCCATTCAAACGTCTTGGCCGTCGACGAGAGGAGCTCGGACGCGACCGAGAGCCCCGAGAGAACTGGACACGACGGCACGAGCTCGACCTAGGCGCCAAAACGTTTCGTAAAAATCCATTTGTCTTACAGTCGTTGGTACCTGCTCGATGAGAAATTGAATGCGGTGCTTGACGTCCTGCACGCTACGAAAGAGCTCGAGGAGCTCCTGTGATCGCAGCTTGGTCAAGTACGCCTAGTACAACCTTCGACTAGAACGACATGGATACAATAATGGCCAGGTCGCCTACCTCGGCGTCAACGAGCTCGTACAGATCCACTGGTTTCTTGGAGAGGCGGCTCACCATGAGTTTAAACTGCTGTCGAATGTCCATGTTGATCTGGATCGTGGCTTGGGAAAACGCATGGAAGAGCGCCTGGATGAAGCGAGACGCTTTCTGGATCAAGCCCGCGTTCAGCGACGTGCAGTCGACGTGGAACAAGCCAGACGGGCACTGTCCCTGGTTGGGCTCGGCGGCAATTTGCATGGCAAAGCGCATAAACTTGCCAATCTCGGCAGCGTACGCTGCAATGTCGTGGCGCGCCGCCATAAAAGCTTCCAGCGCCACGTCGCCGGCCGCGACCATCTAGCACCATGTTTGCTCGATACCGACACCGAGCAAGGAACGTACGGCGTATCGCGCATAGTTGGCCCGGACGCTGCTGGCGTGCGCCATGCTGAGCGACAAGAGGGCCTTGATTTCGTCGGCGGCGCGGACGACCTCGTCTTCGTGGAGCCCGACGCCCCAGAGGAACGGTGACCCACCGAGGATAATCGATGGCTCAAACTTGGTTTCAACGCGGTCGACGTGCGTAAAGCAGGCGGGAATGTTAAAGAGCACGTTGAGCAGCGCCGCCGTCGCATCCTCGAGCGACGTGGCAAACTACCAAAATGTCAAAATGGTACTATATGTCGATGAGACCGTACGTTGATGGCGGTGTGGTCGAGCTGTAGCGAGAGAAGGAGACCTCTGAGCGGACTGCTCGATGCGTGCTTGCGGAAAAAGGCCACGTAGGCGTCAATCGAGCGCACGACGAGGCCGCGCAACTGCAGCGACATGAGCGTCGCGACGCAGTCAAAGTAGTGCTTGGGCTGTAAGAGCGCGGACGCGAGGACGTCTTCGTTCTTGGCGGTGGTCAGAATGCGCTTGGCGGTGTTGAACCACTTGTCGAGAAGGAGGCGCTTGACGTGCGCGGCTTGCGTGAGCTGCCGCTTCTCGAACGTCTTGATGTCCATGGGCACCAAGTGCGACGCGAGCTCGTCCGTACTCGGCAAGTCCACGAGGAGGAGCTTCTCAAAGTCACCCCATACATAATGCAGCGCGAGCAAGTGGCTGTCGAGGACCATGAGGTACTGACTCAAATGGTCTTTCGCCAAGAGCTTGCGGTCGATCCAGCCGCGGGTCGGAGCAATCGCGTGCGCGTAGCCTTCGCCCCACTTCCACTTCATTTGGACTTGATACATGGCTGGCGTGCCACCCGGAATGTGCAGCCGGCGCTGGGTTCCTTCGCGCAGCAAGAGGTAGTCGAGGACAGCCTTCTTGATACTAAAGTAGTAATTTGCGACCGTCTCGTCAAACATGGCACGCAGAATCGCCGCGGCCCGCGCTTGCGGAAGCTGCTGCAGCGCCCGCGCCACGAGCTTCTGGATGTGCTCGGTCCAGCGCGGGTTCATCGGTACAATGTCCTTGGTGCTAATGACGTGCTCGAGGTAGTACTGGTACCGCGCTGCCGCGCCGTCGTTCTCGGCCATGCTGGGCGCCGTCGTCACCAACCTTGTTGCAACGGGGAGCGTTGCTGGCAGCGGTGAAAACACGGGCTTGCCCGACGTCGTGACGAGCGGGAGCTCGATTTTCGGGGGCGACGCCGCCACCGGGTGGAACGCGATGTCAAGCGCTGGCAGCCCAACCATGGCATCGGGCTCGTTGGGCGTGTTTAAAAAGACGAGCGGCGACGCTGTCGGGGTCGGGAGGTGCTTTCGGATCACGAGGTGGGCAGCGGGGAGCGAGTAGTTGCTCCCGATGCGGTCGCTCGATGCAAACTTTTCGATCGCGTCGACCTGCTCGACGCCCAGCGTGCGACAAAACGGGTCCAGCAGCGGCGGGTATTTCGCATCCAGCTCGGGGCAGTCGAGCACAACGTCTTGGTTCTTGACTTCGAGCTGCCACGGCATCGCGTCGGCACATCGCTTTTGCAGCGATACGCGCGGGCTGAGTGGCGCGATGGCCTGGGCGAGTGCGCGCGCCCGGCGTGAGAGTCCCGAGAGCTGGTCGGCGCGCGGACTGCCCGGTGCCGTTGGTTTGAGCGGCGTACTCGTGATTGTTTTCTCTGGGGACGGCAAGACGTGGAACAAGGCTTGCGACGGCGCCAAGAGTGACCTTGGGCGATGCCTTCTTAAAAAACAAATCGAGTGCAATGCGACTCTTACCGTGGTGGTTGCGGACGCTTGGTCGCGGGCTCGACAGGACGAATGTCGGGGTCCATCGTGCCCTACCGATCGCGTTAGCGCAACGTTCTTTCGTGCAGCAAAGACGACCTGCTGTTTTTGGGCCATGTGTCCATCGATGGCACGCTGCTTGCAAGTGACCGTGCCAATCCCGAGGCCGAGCTCGACCTACATCAACGAGACGCATCACGCTGTGCATCCAGGGAGCGATCACGTACGAGAGGCGACGACCGCATGCGCTCGCCGACATTTTGCACCAAGTGCTCGAGCCACGACTTGGCTGTATACTCGTCGACGTGGCAGTGGGCCGCAATGTCGCGAAAGGCCAGCGACACGACGCGATGCAGCGGCACGAGCGCGCTCACGTCTTCAAACTTGAGTCCGTGCCGCGTCGCAAAGGGCCCGTGGGTCGCTACACACAAAGCATGAGCACTGCGCCGTCGAATCTCTCGATGAACCGAAATGAGGAATGCGGATGCTATGGCCATGGACGTGGATAAAGACGATACCAAAGCCCGGGATGGAGGCTGCGCTCTGATCGCCCTCGACCTACGACGCACGCTCAATACCCTATCGCTCGGCATACAGGACATACGATTCGCTGCACCCAGGCGCTCAAGAAGGACCAGACCGACGCGAGCTCGGCGGGGGTCGGTGGTGGCGTGTGCAGAAGGCTTCGGGGGCGTCGCAGCTGTCGCGGTTGATCGTGCAAGCATGCGCGACGTCGTCGTGACCATGCTCGCGCGAACCGGCGTCTTGCTGCGGTTGATGGCACTGGCCGTGTCGGGCGTCAAGAGCGGAAGCCGCGTCGGCCGATCCATCGCGCCAAAGTGCCAAGTGCCCTTTCGGCCGAAACGCTCCCAATAGATACGATACACATGGATAGTACATGGATAGGTGCATGCGTGGATAGTTGGATCGAACACGTCTTCGCGTGCATATGGCTCCGTGAAAGTCGACGCTGCTACGATCCAGAAGGGAGCGTAACGCCGAGTAAGACGCAGGGTCCTCCATCTCTTGTCTCGAGGATTGGTTGTCCAAGCCCGTATTACTTCGTGGCTCTTTGTTGTAGATTGGAATGCGCACCGAGTACGTCATAATAAGGTCCATCGCTGCGTGTCAAAGTTGGGTTTTAATACAAGTAGCCCTCGCCTTCCGCGAGCGCCTTGGCCGACCGCTTGGCGTCGGCGAAGAGGTCGTGGATCTCATCTACGTCGTCGGCCGTAATGTCGGTGCGGCCCTGCGTCTCGGCCATGATGCGCGACGGTGTCAGGAGCTGCACCACGTAGCGCAGCGACGTCTGCGCGCCAATCTCGCCGAGGCGGCCGAGCGCGTCGTCAGCCAGCGGGATGCTCTACGAACGGACCTCTCAGAAATGAGATCGATCGACGTGTCGTACCTCGGCCTCGGCGCGAATGCTCACGATCTGCACCATTTCTTCGACCGAGTAGGGCATCGTGCGGATGATGAGCATGCGGTCGAGCAAGTCGAGCGGCACGCCATGCGGCGACGAGATCTCCGTGCCGCTACATCACATTGAGATCGCAATGTATCGGCAAAGCGGCGCGTACCGAACGGTGCAGACGCCGCGGTTGGTCGCAAACACAACGATGGGCGCGAGCGTCGACTCGAGCGCGCGGTTGAGATACGTGAAGCACTCGATGTCCAGCATGTGCACCTAAGATGCGCTAAGAAACATGCATCGTATGCCGCATCGACGTACTTCGTCCACGAACAGAACACCCGGAATGAGCTCGGCCACGCCTTGGTCAATGTACCGGTTGACGACCTTGTTGATCTCGCTGCGGAGCTTCTCGGTGATCTCCGTCTTCTTGGGCTTCATGAGGTTGCCCATCATCGACATGATGTCCTGGCCGCCCTGCGGCTTGGCGTTCGCAATGTCCAAGTCGTGGAGCGTCACGTCCTGGATGATCTCCTTCTTCTTGTGCACGTCGCCCTTGGGCATCGGGACGTACTCGTCGGCCTCCAAGTCGTACTCGGTCGCATACCTAGCAATGCCGCATGAGCGCACACGAGAGAGGCTGCATGCGTGCTGTACGCGTCCGAACGACCGACACGCTTGACCGAGCCGCTGTTGGCCTCAATGTAGATGACATCGCCCGGCGACACCTTTTCCTTCTGCAGCGCTTCGTAGATGCTTGGGTCCAACCGAAGCTGCTTGGAGCCTACGACATACAAGATGAGACTCCTCCTCTCGTTACAGGTTATACCCTTGGTCGTTTTGAGGCCAATAATGACGTGCGAGATGGTCTTGCCGTAGCCACCAAGGGGGTTTTCCGTCTCTTCGGGCGTGATCTCGGTCACCTCGCCTTCGTACACCTCCTTGTTCTCCTTGATGCGGAGGCCAATTGCGCGGCGAAAGTTCTCCATGAGAATCTCGGTCTTCTTGACCTCGGACGAGTAGACTTCCGAGCCGACCATGGGGCAGAACGGAACCTTGGGCCCAAGCTCCTGGGAAAATGCCAAGC